ACACAACTGTGAACCTGTCTTACCATTTCCCACTTCAAAACTACTCTACATTGTAACATCACATGAAGCAGGGTGATCATATATATTCCATACTCAATAATATTCAAGAAATTATCATGTTTTTTCCCCAGGAAGGTTTTGGTGTGCTTATTACTAATGGTAATCATAATTATGATGAAAAACTGCACAAGCGCATTAAGGTACTCCTCCTTTTGCTATGTTATGTTTTTCATTTTATGTTTTCTTTTTACGTTCCTTATTTTATGTTTTCTTTCCAAACATAAACATTTCAGAACTGAATTCAACAYAAGACCTAATCCACTTGGACGTAAAGTTTTGCCTATTTCAGACCACATTTCTTTCTCTGGAGAATAAGTTTTTTGTTTGAGTTGTGTCCATATTCATGTGTCTTCTCATGTGCAAACATTAAACGAAGAAAAAATACTCTAGGGAATGACATATTTAAATCTAAATTGAAATCTAATTTAAATCTATCTACTAAGTAGCTACCTATCTAGTCTAACTTTTAAGTTAAATCAAAGGTAGTTTGTACTTTTATGTCATATTTCTGTACTGAATAATATTGATTGATTGACRTTGGCCTGAAATGGGAAAACAGTGGATTACTATTGCAAATTTTGGAATTTGATGGCATCACTTAGATTCTATGCTCCCCAGTACACGTGCAGTACTTTAAACATCTAACGATCTGAATTCCAGKCATCGTCATTAATGCTTAATTATGTTTCCCAATAACACTGACATGGCCTAACATGTCTTTCACAGGGCAGTGAGAATCCCCAGGATCACTTTGTTTATGTCTGGAACAACTTCATCAAGAAGGCCAAGGCCAAACACATCGTGATTGTTGCACATAGTTTTGGTGGGGTAGTAGTTCTTCATGGTGTAAGTATTTTGCTGCCTTACCTCTTAAAGGTGCAACTAATTTGATAGTGATAAAGCGTTTTCACTCACGTGAGAAGGCAGCCATAAACAATAGAAACTTTCTGCACAGTACTTGCATAAAAATAGAGTTCAGTT